TTCAAAATCTCATAGTTGAATACATGAAAGTAAGACATGTTATTCTCACATGTAGACACTGTTGTTTGGATTATGAAGCAAATTATTAATTGCAAAGTGAATATTTTTAAACGTTTCTAGTTATCCTTACAATAATCATCATCAATGCTTTTGCTCAAATACTTTTAGTTCCTCAAATATATTGAAAGTAAAGCACATAAAACATGAATTCAGTTTATAAAATTATGACCACTTTAATTGATGTGTGATTTAAATAACTATACATTTTAGCTTCCTAAGAGTATTCAGCTAGGAAAGAATTCTAAAATCAGAGATGCTGCTATAAAAAGTATCCTGAACTTTCAACATCTTAAGTGTTCATAACAGTGCAAAAAAATACCTAAAATATTAACCAAGCCTTGAAAGCAAATAACTACCAAGCATTTAAATGCAGATGTTAGAAATCAATTACAGCTGGATTGGACTTTAAACCATATCCCGTTTGAGCTTTTGTGCACATGTCTAAATGGGACTTGACAGGTGAATAAAAGATGTATTGATTCCTGTTTTGGAGATTGCTGTAGATTGTTTTGAACTAGGCTTGGATCTTGAATAAACTGAAACTTGGAATTCTTTCCTGTCATTGTAACCTCATCACAAAATAACAAATATAAAAGCCAGGGATAAGGATACTACATTTAGAACAGCTGTTGCTATTGCATGCTGTTGTCCAAGCTCAAAGGAAGAATTTTCTGGGGGAGAAAAACCACATTAATTACTCTTTAATACCCAGGAAATTTGTATTAGAAACACTGTATTCTCATTTAAATGGGTGCTCAGTAAGAATTTCTTGATTCCCAGTTCACAGGGCTTCTTTTTCCATATCCAATGATAACATCTGTCTGAGCTATCTGAATTTTACCCGAATTATTTAAAATAAAATGCATCAAGTGGATCTGCCCCTTGCTTTTTGTGAGACATGAAAATTCTGACAATCCCCAAGACTAGAAAATAAAATGTGTTTTTAAGACATTTTGCAGAGATGTAGAAAGCATCTTGAAAATGTTAGCAAATTAACTCAATAGAATTGAAATATCCCCTTAGAATCAACCATCCCAGAGGTCACCTAGTCACTTAGTTAAAGACCAATGTGAACCCAGGGTTTTGCTACCTAGCATATTCCCTTCCTTGAATACCATAGGGAGACCCAGATAGGTTCTGGACCACAGAGAAACCAAGTAGACTCTGAGTCAGACCTCACAGATTATCTATTAGGAGTAACTGTGACTTCAGATTGTGACTTCAGATTCAACTGGCAGGGTCACCTGTGCTTTGAATTCCTTCAAGGTAACTAGCCCTTAAGTTCTTGACCCATCTTCAGATCTTAGATAAAAATAAAATGTATTAACTAGGATAGGCTGCTCCTATGGAGGCCACTCACTTATGCTTAGAGGCATGAGTGGCTATCTGTCTAGTCTGAAATTCTGCTCACCTATCAACTGCTTTTATGAAAACCTCTGCTCTCTCTGTACTGTAGTTTAAAGAAAGGCTTTGGAACTTACCAGATGAGTTCCCCTTGGGCTGAGCAGATCAAGGAAGCTCTTTACAGAAAACTGAGTGTCAACCCAGACACACACCTTTATCTGCTCATCACTGACCAGATGGTAGATGTAAAAGTGGGACAACAAACATCAGTGTCTGTATTCATCATCTCAATTCCCAATCTCTTTAGGCTAACATCGATTTCTTAGGTGAAATGGAGAATGAGGTTCAAAACCTACTCTCCTGGAAGCTTGCTGGTGAGAAAGAAAAGAAAAAGTACTCCATAAACTCTGGGCAGGACGAAAAGTTTCATTTTATGTATTTGTTAGAATGTAAAACACGGAGATTCAAAGACAGAGGAAAAGGAGTGGTGTGGATTTGGAACAGTGGTTGCTGTATGGCCACCAGGGAAGAGGGTGTGTAAAAAGCTTCTCTCTTCATCTATAAAAACCAGAACCACTTGCCATCTCTCTGAATAACAAATGGATGTGACCTGGAGAGAAGGGTTGTTTTCATGTCCCCGGGGTTCTGTTTTACAGACTGCATTTCCCTGGAATGCATAGATCATAGATCTCAGCACTATTGCCTTTCTGCCTAAGGACTAACCCTTTCAGGTTCTTTCTCATTTCCTGATCACGATTTCTGTAGAGGAGAGAATAAACATGCATAGGGAAACGAAAGTGTATGTTTTGATTTTGAAGTGTGGGGACGATATAAGAGGGGTGAAGAAATGCTAAGAAGAATTTAGAGGCGATACTGGAGAGATATTGTGTGAGGACTGTTTTCTCAATTTGTGGAACTACCATTTTTGGTGAAAACTAGTTCCAATCAAACAATTTCAAATTGGCTTGTAGGGTTAATTCCTGCCCATTTATGGGAGCTAGCTGTGGATCATGCATGCTGAACACATCTGGGTACAGGGAAAGATTACTAATTACTCTAACAGATGTGTTTTTTAATATAAATCAGTATGTCTAGAGTACTGAGCCCACTGGTGGGCTCATAAATCCACAGGACAGTGGGTTGGCAGCTACAAACAAGAGCTACATTTAAGTATCAGGGTTGTTTCAGGGTGGATTTATTGTGCTGTTTTGTTTTCTCTCAAACACAGAGGAGATACTAGCTCAGTGCCACAGAAACTGTGGACAAAATAGAACCTCTCATTTCTTCTCCCACATACTACCAAACTGCACACACACTGCCTTCCATGACTCAGCAGGCTACCTGTTGACAGCTGACCCTACTGCTCCCACACAAGAAAACAAGCAAACCTCTGTTAAAAAAAGAAAGACTAAACAGGCCAGACTTCCAATCCCTCTCTCTCTCTCTCTCTCTCTCTCTCTCTCTCTCTCTCTCTCTCTCCCTCTCTCTGTGTGTGTGTGCATTAGAAAGCATGTGTGTGTGTGTGTGTGAGTGTGTGTGCATTCACTTAAGTCTGACACTATTAACATTAAAATTCCAAAACTCTAGGCTATAATGCTTAGTAAGGTTAACTCTGAGAGGAGCCCAGCCCTCTGAGGCAAAGGCCATGCTTGTGTGTCATTTCTCTATGTAAAAATGGGACATTTCATGGCACTTTTACATCTGCTATTTCAATGTCTTTATATTTTTCTCTTTTACAGCACCCTGGTAGAAAATAAGACAAAGAAAAACTACTCAAACCTTTCACCAAGATAAATGTCAAGTCAAACTATTGGAACCTTCGAGTTGTTTTCTGGGCTCTTTTTGTTTTGTGACAGGGTTTCTCTGTATTGCTTTGGAGCCTGTCCTGGAACCTAGGCCCTTTTTTAAAAAACACTGTCAGTTTCTGGGCTCTAAATGTCTGTGCAGGCACCATCTATAACTGTTTCAGCTCAGGCTTTCCAGTGTGGGCTGTAACAGTCTTGAATATCAGGACTGGGCTAACTCATTTGAGCCCTTTGCCTAGTCCAGGACTAATAGCTGACTAAAGAGGCAAGCAAATGCCCCCCCCCGCTCTTTCTGTGCTATTTTTAATTAATTGATGGATGGATTGCATATATTTACGGGATACAATGTGAGATTAACTTATCACCTCAAATACCTGTCATTTCTCTCTTATCTGATTCCTTTCTCTAGTAAACGTATTATGACAGAAACAATGAATACCATCTGACTTCGACACAAGGCTAATTTACTCTGCTGAGTATTTCGAATTTCCGCAAACTTCTTTTCCTCAGAACCAGTACTTTTCTTTTTTCTGGAGCAGCATCCCTATGCGGTCCTGCTGACATGGGTCAGGGGAAATACGCCCTCCCTAAAGGCTGGCTTGGCCATCTTCTCCTTTCATTAGCAGGGTAACCTAGAGTTCCCCAAGGAGCCTAGCACGGAAGTGTAATCTTTCCGCGGGGACCTAACTGACATCCGAGACAAAAATGAAATTTAAAGTCATAAATATGGGGGAAAACAAAGGAAGCTGTTTTCGAGATGGCTTTTCTGCCTGAGACTTGGTGTGTGCCACTAATCCCTTTGCACTCTGTTGGGCCCCTCCTTCCCTCCTCAGATCTAAGGATCTAGGAAGTAGAATTTAAGCTCCTGCAAGGCGAAACCTCCTGGCCAGGACCCAGACTGCACAGCCACAGTGGAACTTCCGCTCCTCCAGGAGAATAGAATGACTACCAAGAGGCCAGAAGCGAAACACTTAAATGTTGCATTTATTAGGGAAATGTTAAATAAGAAAAAAAAAAAATCTCAAACGGTGTCACGGATATCAAGAGCACTTTTGTGGAGTAAACCGTGCAGACACGAGATATGAATTCTACTCTGGATCTTTGTCCCGGGCTTAGCTGGAGCGCCAGCCTCCCAAAGAGACCCAGCTGAAAATGCACTAAAAGAAAGCACTTACCCCATTCAGAGTCTCAGACTCCCCTCCCCCCACCCCTTCTCCCAGGATGACAAAACTCTAACCCGCAGGCAGGCAAATAGGCCACTAGGGCATAAAAGACTTATCAAATATTTGTATTCAAGCAAACTAACACAGATCTCTATAAACCACAGGTTACTATTGATCGAAGTTCCACTCTCCCTGCAGGTTGCAAAACCCACAGGCATCTATGTTCCCATTAGGTCTGCAGCGTGCTGTAGAAACAGGTCAATTTCGGGTCACCCGGCTACTAGTGCTGCTGTATATTCCCCCCAACTCCCGCCTTGCTTGGCCTCTCCAGCTGTCCCCAGTGCTGGGCCCACCTGCAGGAGGAAAGGGGCCTTTGCCCGGTCCATCTCCCCGCATCTCAGCCAAGCAGTCGCTCCCAAAGTTCTGTGCCCTAATCTCTTTCTTTTGCCACCTGCTGCTGAGTCCCGAAGTCTGGACGCTCCTCGTCTGAAGGCTTGTTTGGGGCCTTTCGCAGAGCGATCAGTAATGGGTCACTTTTCCCCCAAAGTCAGAAGGCGAGAGAAAAAAATCTGACTCCGACAGGTTTGCTTTGCTGTCTCTCTGATGGTGAGAGGTTCAACACGGCTGGCGGAGTACCGGAGGTGCCAGGAGCGCCAGCCGTGCGGGACCCGAAGGCTACTCAGTAGGGGCCCACGACCACTGCCTCAACCTCTTTAGACGGCCTCCGGTCTTTCACCAGGAAGTTGATCATGCCTTCGGATTTGATGAGCAGGTTGCAGCCAAGGAAGAAGATGCCGAAGACCACGGTGAGCGAGAGGACGCACATGACTGCGATCTGAACCACGCGCATGATGTACAGGCTACGTTCGTCGGGGCCGCCCTCGGCGAAGCCATCGTCGGTCACCACCGACGCCTGGGTGCAGCAGCGCACGGCACGCTCCAGCGCCTCGCTGCTGTTGGTCAGGAAGAGACCGGCCACGTCGGTCTGGTTGCCCAGCACTGAATTCATCACGGGAGCAAGCGGGAGCCGGAGAGGCGAGGATCCGGAGGGGTGGGGACCGGACCGGGGTGGTGGTGGCAAGGGAGGAACAGGTGCCGGACGCAACGCTGGCTGGCACACTTAAGCGTGAGGGGCTCCTCGGCTACCCTTTCAAAGTCTCCGGGCTGTGAGCGTCTCAGGAACCTCTCCAGGACGCGCTGCAAGCTGGCTCTTGTGCGCCGTGTGCTGCCCGGGCAGTGCTCGTTCCCGGCGCTCGCTCGACTGGGAGCTCTTGGAACTTGGCGGGTTGGGCCGGAGGGGCCGTGGGAGGCGCGGGCCACCGCGGCCCGGCGGCTGCTCCGAGCAAACAGCGGCCCCTGCTGGTGGCAGAGCCCCGCTGCGTCCACTCGCCCAGGAGGCGGAGGCAAGGAAAAGGGCCCAACAAGAGGGATTTGTAGCATCCACAATTCCAAAGGCCAGGGAGAGGTCACTAAACACTCCTGATGTGTTGAACAAGGAAAGGATTTGGGATGACAGGCTGAAAGTGGCAGAGGGCCTGGGTCACACCCACTCTTGATCGTGTCCTTCGATGTCGCCCCTCTCACCTTTGAGCTGATTTAAAGTGGCCAGGTACCAGATGGTGCTGGCCAAGGCACTAACTCACTGCTTATTCTTGACTGCTGCTTGTTCAGTGACAAGAGGGGCGGAATCTGGGAAGTTCTTTTCTTCTTACTTCTTTTTGGAGGTGTGGTGGTGTTATTATTGTTTTAAGGAATCAGATGAAAGCATCAGAAAGAGTAAAAGAGCCGCATCCCTATCCTCCTGGGAAAGTTATTGTATGCAGGGTTTGCAATGAGCTGTGAGGTCAAGGCAAGCAGCAGGAGATGCAGGAAGTGTTCTTCTGTGGCTCCTGGGTGGAGGCGGTTGCCAAGAACAGGGTCAACTCTCTGGTAAGAGAAGTGAACAGAGTGACCACTTCATTGCAACTTTAACTGCAGAGGCGTTTTTGGATGAGCTTCCAGTGTTTTTGTCCTTGGCAAAAAAACAGTTGTCTAAGGGAATTGCTTGTCCACATCCACCACCTAGACTGCTAGGCAACAGCTGGAAGCCTCCCACCAGAAGCTAATATACACCCGCAGCTTTCCTTACCACGGAGCAAACTGCTGCCTTTTCAGGTAGCTATGGAGGCTCGGTCCTTTGTGACTGCTATTGGTTCTCAGTTCTAGAGGAGTCTTACAAACTGGCCAGTTCATTTTGGGCTCCAGAAGATCCCAATTCTCGCCCCTTTCCTCCTTCTTTCTTTCCTCTCCTTCTCCCATTCTCTTCTTTCTTCCACCCCCGGCGCCTCTTTCTATTATAATGGCTAGAAATGAGAGATTGATGTGCAGTCCAAACTTTTGAAAGAAAACTTTTTTTTTTAAAACCAGTTTCTACTGAATGAAGTTGTTTTGCTATTCTCTACTTTATTGTGAATGGGGGGTGGGGATGAGGGTCAGGAGAGGCTCTATATCTCAGACTGTCCTTGAATCAGTTACTCCAGGCCTTTTAATTTCTGAGTTTGGCAACGATAGCCTTCTGATTATACCATATGCGCTTATTTAATCCCCTCTATAATAATCATCCATTTCATAATGGATGAGTATGTCTTCTTAATGTCTTAGCACTACTTCATGATGCCTCCTCTCAAACCAAAGGACTGACTTTTAGACAAAAATTTTTTCTTTAGTTTTCTGGAAGCTTCAGTAAGTTCTAGATACCTAGAAGCTTTTGCTGTGGAGAGTAGGGAGGTGTGAACAGTAGAGAACCAGGACTGACTCATATTTCCCTTGGCTTAGTTGCTCTAGTTTTGATGATTCAGTGAACCTTGAAGAATGTCTCACCCTCAATAATATCGCTTTTGGGGTCAAATTTGTTATTAATGGATCATAAAGAATTCTTCATATTTTGTTATTTAGGTGATGGGATAACAGTGGATGGGTTGATGGCTCAGCAGTTAAGAGCATTTGCTACTCTACCTAGTTCGGTCTCCAGCCCATGTCAGACACCTCACCACTGCCTGCAACCCCAACTCCAGAGGGATGTTATGCCTCTGGCCTCCACAGGCACCTTCACTCACATGCAAATACCCACATGAAGATGCACATACATTCAATTAAGAATAAGAAAACATCTTTAAAAAGAAGGAAGAGCAATTTATATGTGAAAATGTACCAAAGAAATGTACCAAAGACAATACAAAGTCATGCTAAATGAATGATTAAAGCAAATAATAATTTAGAAAAGCAAACAGGCAGAGAAAAGAACAGAATTATTGGGAGTGTGAACAAGGCAGGTGTGGGTGGACTTGAAGATACCAGCACTGTCTATGAATATTCAATAGCTTTGGCTTATCCTATGTTTCTGAGGGCCAGGGTGCCAACAAGGGGAGACCTTAGGGTGAAAGAGAGGAAGGTGGGGAAGGAGATAGAGGAAAAGGATAGGAGGGAGGTGGGAGAGGAAGAAATGTTAGCTGAATCATTGTGGAAATACATGTGATTTTGTTGCTGTTTAATTGTTAGAAGAAGTATTGCTGTTGTAGTCAGAAGTCAGTTTTAAAATGATCAGAGATTTATCTATTGAATATTTTTATGTCGAGGCCAAACTTCATAGTTTGGGGAATTTAGTCAAAAGGAGTTAGGCAGCACAGATTTCATTTCCTTTCTTTCAGATGTAACTACTAACAAGGCACAAACTCTCTGAAGCAGGAGGCAATGACCCCCCCCATCACCTAGCCCAGATTTATGCTTTTGTTCCTTTTATCCCCTTACACTATGATTTTGTTCAGTAAAATTTCTTGAAGTAGTTAAATGGAAATGAACAGCAAGCAGAGTTAATATAAAGTTTACTTTGTCACACCATATTAGTACTAAAGAGGTCTGGATTAACAAGAACTAAAACTTTCCTTTCTTTCATTTTTAAAATAGATAAACAACAACAACAACAAAAAGAACCAAGAATAATAACTATATTTCCCTTTCCTGGTTTTGTTGTAGAGTTTCTTGTAGAGTAATATGCATCCTTTGCCTATTTTGTATAAAGCCTTAGGAGCTGTATCCACATAACAGAACTTAATTTCCAGGGAAATAAACAATGATATGGCAGAGGAGACACACTGATAATTCACTTTAAAGTAAAGATTTTATACTTAGAAGAACTCAATATATAATATATATTTGACTGCTTCTGCCTTGTTGAAGTGAGTTGGTAGATTTGAGAGCTAACTGCTTAGTATTTCACATAGTTGTGCAAGATCAGAATCAATTGCAAGCTCTTTCTGCAAAGTACAACTGTAGCATACAATAAATTCTTCCAGGACATTTTAGGCCAACGATGGCAGTTATAATCTGTACTTTGGAAAGCCTTGAGGGAAGAGCAGACACGTTTAGTACCCAAACACTTTTTCCTTGATGTTTTGTGTATTATGAAAATATCAAGTAGACATTTAAACAGTATATCAGACACTAAGAGAATGTTTATTGCTTTGGGGCAAGCACTTTTCTTAAATAAATTACACTGTATTTCACAATCTAAGTAAGATAAAGCTCTCTTATACAGAAGTCATTCATAATAACAGACTCAGTGTTTGAAAACCAAGAGGAAAGCCCAAGCCCAGCAGTATAGATCTCAGGGCCACCAAAATAGATCATAAACAGCAAATGCCTAAGCCTTAGGCTGACCCTTAAATCCCCTCACATGCTTCTACTTCTTTCATAATTTAACCTCTTCTCTATTTATCTTAATGGTAGAAGACTGATAGTAACATCTGGCTGGAAAAAGGGAGAACTGATTAGAGGTAAGTGGTTGATTTTTCTATTTGTTTTGTTCTACAAGCACAATAAGTGACACAACACCAAGGAGAAACAACACCAAACATTAATTTCTAAGAGCACCTGGAGACAGAGGCAGTCCTCTTGGATGGCAAGAGGTTCATTTACACATGGAAAGGCATGGCTTACTGGTGTTGTGGTGCTGGTTGCAGTATGCTTACCTTCTGTGCATTTCGTTTACTCATCCATGATGTGGGGATAATCATGTACAGGATTTAGAAAAGACTGATCAATGATCAATGAACATAAACAGAAGTATCAAGTGTGCGGCCACATCTCAGTGAACGCATATGCCAAGATTTCCTGGAGCTACATCACTGTATGTGAAAATAAATTTCCATTCAGAAAACTGGAGAATGGCACAGTGTATGTGTTTACATATTAAGAACTGAAATGTACAGATATTAGAACTATTGTGTATTACTTGCAGGAAGATGAAATTATTGTGCAGCCACTGAGGAAAAACAGCATTGTGGTTCTTCAGGAATTTAGATATTAGTTTACCGTGTGATCCACAAAGTCAACATTTAGGTATATATGCCCCCATGCTGGAAAAACAGACTCCAGAGAGTGGTAGTAACTCAAATGTCTATCAACAAATAAGGCAAATAAGTAAAATGTGGTATACACATATGTAAAGTATTACTCTTAAAACATGATATTCTGGAGCATGCTACAACTTAATGAAATTTGAAGTCACACTGAGACGAGTCATATCAAAAGGACAACTATTGCATGATAGCACTTATATGCAGTGCCTGAAATACTCATATCTGAAAGGACAGAAAGTAAAATCGTGGTTACCAAGGGTTGGGCTGAGGAAATAAGAGAGAGTCAGTATTCCATAGGTATGGTTTCAACTGGGGAAGATAAAAAGTACTGCATGAACGTTTTTATGCTTGCTCTCTCTTAATTATATGCATGCAACTGTTGCAAGGTTTTATGGGCTTTAAACATTATCCTAATAAAAATTATCTAAATTTTAATTAGAGTTAGCATAAACACACAGTGTTCAGAAAATATATCAGAAACGCCTTCTCAAATCATCCATCCTTTCCATAGCCTGAAATTGTAGCCCTAGCAATAAACGTTATCTTCTTATCTTTTAAAATCTTTCCTCTGTCATTATGATCTTATACTTTGTTTTTGTTCTTAATTTTGAACGTGTTGTTTCATAACATTAAACACTTATAGGCACATTTTAAATAAAAGTAGTCATTATA